GTAATTCATTACCATGGTCTCCGTTTCATCATATCTGTACATACGGCACCAATGTATCTATAACCTTAGTCAAGTGCTCCAGCACATGCCCCACTTTGAGTACATCCTCATCTTTGGTCGCTCTCCCGAATATGTATGCTGAGAACGGTATTCCAGGTGCGACATTGACCAGGTGGTTTCTAGAATCCTTCTCTATGGGCGTATCTATCGGAAACACCCCCATCGGTACGCTTATCACCGGACTTCCTGCTTTCGCAGCAAAGCTCTGCATGGTGACACTCAAGGTAGGTAGAATCATAACATCGCAACGGTTTGTACACAAAGCTGTTCCGATGCCACCTTCGCCTGTGTAGTAGTCGTCTTTTGCTAACATGGTCCTGTAGAGTGGCCCGTTCAGATCGGAGGCTTCCGCCCTCTCGAGACCTTCGACGTTCCGCCGCGGGTATTGCTCCGCTGGATGAGCTTTTGTAAAGGTTATGAGATCTTGGAGATTGTGGATTTCTTTAGGATTTGTTTCGAGAGAAGAGAGGTATGAGTTTATTGCAGTCTTCATATCTGTGTCCAGAATGATGTTTTTAGCTTCTGGTGAAAGAGCTTCCCAACTCGAAGCACCAGTAATCTGGAAGTCGTGGATAATGGTAGCGCCTGCGTTTTCTAACAATGTGAGCGTCTTTTCAAATGCTTCCCTCCTACACCTAGGAAGGTTTTTCAGTTCGCTGAGATCATGGGGGACGCCGATGCGAATGCCGTTTAGATGAGTGCTTGAACATACACTGCTCAGGTTTTGCAATAGCTTCTGCTTTGTTGGCGAAGGGATGTGATCGCTTTGCTGCACAAGACCAAGGACGAAAAACGATGCGTCAGATACAGTACGCGTAAGTACCCCAACCGTATCGAGTCTTTTGGATGCGTAAATTATCCCCTTTGAAGAAAGAAGACCGCGCGTCGGCTTGAAGCCCACGATACCTGATTTCTCGGCCGGGGAAACAATGGAGTAGCATGTCTCCGTGCCTAACGCTGCAAAGCACATACCTGCTGCAACCGCTACGGCACAACCTCCCGAACTCCCGCTGGCCTTCATGCCTGGGTGGTAAATGCCTGTAGTCTGACCTCCTCTAGCACTCCAACCTGAACATCCACTCGTAGACCGGAAGCCTGTCCACTCAGCCATATTTCCTTTGCCCAGTACTATAGCTCCCGCCTTCCGTACCGCTTTCACAATTTCACCTTCCTCAGACGGTCTGGCATCTATCAAGGCAACACTGCCACATGTTGTGGACGTGGCGTCAAGAGTGGGCATATTGTCCTTCAAGAGAATAGGCACACCGTGTAGCGTGCCTCGAGCGCCGCTTGTTAGTTTTTCAACATCGAGGAGGTGGGCCGTGGATGTGGCGTCTGGGTTGACTTCTGCCACCGCGTGAAACTGGGGGTTTAATTCACGAATACGGGTAAGGTAGACTGAGGTCAGCTCAACGGCTGTGAAGAGGCGGTTTTGGAATGCTGTCTGAATCGTGAGATTGTCGAGACCGGCGAGAGGTAGGATGTTTGGACGGGTCTTGGTGGATCCGCTAGCTTTTTTGGTACCTGCAGTCATGATGGGTGGAATTGATGTGTTTGCAGATCTGCTCACGGAAATATTGACCTGGCAAGTTCGCAGTATTTCTATAGCGTTGAGGAAATCTAGTTGGATACTTAGGGAGACAGTAGTACCGATGAAGAGATGGGTAAATATACATGTTTAGTTGTGAAAGATTGAAGAGCCAATGTTCACACTGATCTTCAAGAAGATCATTGTGAAATATAGCTTCGATGCTTCAAACGCGCCATCATATTTGCCATATCGTTGTGGGTTCTCTTCCTTCACATTGCTCAGTCAAGTTCTATGACCTCCGTCTCATCAGTTGGTATCTGTCTGACGCGTTGCTGCTTCCTCTTTCTACGCAGATCGACCGAACGTATCTCGATGAAGTCGTCGTCGCATGTTGCACTCAGGCCACTGGATCCGTGATCATTGCCTTCTATGGTTGAGGTATCGGATAGCTCGCGTTTCATGCGTACACGGGTCTCTTCTTGCTCCTAGTTCATGTCAGCGCGTCAGATACAGACACATGGTAACAGGTGACCTACTCTGAAGCGCCACACAATAGCTTCTAATTGTTCCCTATTCAGTTGTCCGAGAACCGTGTCATCACCATCGAGGAAGTCGACTGGGTCGGGCGTGCGTTCGATAATGTGTAAATCCTTGAGTGCAGCTACGAATGATATGGTCAATCCGCTAAAATTCTAGTTTGAGGGCAAAATTTACCAAGCGAGCGATAGTAAAAGTGAAATGTTGCGAATGGCTCCCCTCCGTCGGCATATTCGGCATCGTAATACTCAATCTCTTCCGCAGGCTCCGTCTCTCCAAGACTGTAATCACGTTAGTCCGTCTCTATGTTTAGCGCGAATCATACCGACATTGCCTGATGCGACAGCGACTCGCCCTTGATAGCCTTCTCGTTGACTGTGTCCAATTTCTCAAGCTCCTTGTGTACAAATTTGGTCTTTGCACTGCGTCTCGCGTTATTGAGGAAGTAGAACTCGCAAGTAATAATACCAACGAGTTGTATCTTCTTTTTTAGATCTTCCGGTATAAGATTTTCGCTGCATTCCCCTGTATATACATCAATATGCTGTTTTGCAAGAAGCAAAGACGTCCTACTGATATCAAGTGGTGAGAAGCGATATGACTTTGTCGACCAATTCCTACCATCGTTCGAGATTGGGCCGGAACTGAAATGACCTTCTTGGTTGTACAGCTCACAGGGAAGAATAAGAGGTTCCTCGATGTCCTTGCCGTCCATTGTCACGATCATAGATACAGGGCGGTCGACGGGAAACGGCGCCTTGAACGAGTAGTGAATCTCGAAGGACGAATTTGAATGTACTTCGATGTAGCTTTCCGAAGTGGCTTCCGATACGGCTGCGTGCTGGTCGACATACTCGCGAAGTGGATTTCCATTGACGTAGATCTGAATCTCGAGCCCGGGGACTTCATCTACGATTGCCATGGCGCCAGATACAGATTTAGGGCAACAAAGGAAACGAAGAGTGATAGTAGAAAGATGTCCTTGGGAGTGGTAACGTTGCCAAAGATATATTGAAGGTGTTTCCTGTGGAAGAGCCTTCACCTCAAATGAGGATGGAGGCATTGGCGGATGGAACGTGAGGTGAAGGTGATTATCGGCAGGTGAGAGACGGTAATTCTGAAAGTTCTTATCTCCGACGCGTCACTGAATCGCGCGTCCATAGCCATAAGATGTAATTTGGGCATGCTAGATTCCTTGATGCTTCCTTTCTAGCGACCTCGGCCTTAGCGCGAAGACCACAGGCCCCACTCAACGAAAAGTAGGATGAAGGGAAGTAGAACGCAGTGGAACATTTGAGAAATGTGAGAAAAATGAAGTGAGGAAAATCGACCGACCATGTCACTGAAATCGCCCCAACTATGGCGCTTGCGCACCATCACAAGCACCAAACCCGCCATGTTGGCCAATATTCGTCGACCTGATTACTTGAGTCGCTCAATAGTCCAAAGCTACCACCTCATCTTTAGCCATAGGGCCACGGCGTAACTTCTCCACTCACTGCTGTTGGCTGAGTACGAATCCATTGAACTTCGTCGTCGTCTACGAGGATGGTATCACCGGCCTGGCTTTCTTCTTCGCGTTCGCGCTTGACCCTGATAGCGTCTTGCCTCTTTTCCTGTGACCGGTCAGTCATAAGTGTATGATCGCTTCTGAGATGTCCTATCGCTTACGCGTACGCGCTTGAGCTCCGCCCTCATCTCTTCCTCAGTCATGTCTTCCGGATCTTTGTCCTCATCCTCATCCTCTGACTGCTGTGATGGGCTTGTAGTACGCGGGATAACACCAATAGACTTGAGCGCATCTGCACGGTTATTAGCGGACGGAATGACTTGGCCTGACATACTTGCAACTGACCAATTGACCTATAGAGAAAAGTGAAGGTCGCAAAAGGCTCATTTCCTGTTGTCGCCACTTCGTTAAAAGTGATGCTATCGCGCTGTACTGGTATAGTGAGGCTATTGGACATGTCAGTGCCGACGCTTTTCATGGGTGTAACAAATATACCTAGTTTGGTGAGACAATTCATCGCCCTGTGCTGCAACTGTTTTGTGCAGCGCCTTTTCACTGAGAGAATCAAACTCGTTGTTCGCAAGCTGAGGTACTTCGGCGGGCTTCACTGCTTCTAGATGCTCAATCAAGTAGAAGTAAAGCACGATACGACCGGTAGTTGACAGCCGGTCAGCAACCTCTTTGGTAACCGGGGTATTGGTCTCGTCTTTTCGTAGTCAGCTAGTACCAAGGAAGATGCCGATGAACAAGAGCTCACTAGTCTTTAGCTCGGCGAATTGGAAGCCTTGAGTAAAGCTACGTCCACCAGCGGACGAAGTAGATCTCGAGCATAAGTACCCCTCGCAGCCTTCTTTACCACCCCACTCAATGAACGGAGCTTGCACGTATTTGCCATCCAGAAGTACATCCATTTGGATTGCTGAAGGAGGGGTGAATGGTGGACGATAAAGATAGCGGATAGAGAAGTCGGTAGCTGGTGGCGCTTCGATGTATTTGGTAATTGAAGTCGTAACCTCGCCGTCCTCGACACCAGCATATTCGTGTTCTGGTAGCGCTATTGCGTCAACCTCGACAGTGACCTCAAGGCCTGGGATACCGGTTGTGATAGCCATGGTATCCGTGAGTGCGAAGTGCAAGAGAGTCGTGACAGGAAGGTAAAAGTTAAATCGACGATAATATGAGTTGCAGTCACCTGAGATTTTCAAGCTAATTAAGCAAGTGAGAGAAGTCTATACTGACAGGGAAGACAGAACAGATAAGACGTTGAGAGGAGAAGATTATTTTGAAGACATGAAAGATTCGCAATCGATAGAAATGCCTCTAGTAAATCACTCTCGTCAGGCTATATCTTCAGGCTGTAGCCTAAGTCAAATCGACAATCTCGATACCGTCCTCGTTTAGAGTAATGGGAAGCCTCCTGCGCTTAGCAGATACAAAAGAGACGTTGTCATCATCCTGATCCTCCATGACAGCGGTACTGCTTCGTTCTCGCTTGAATCTTTCTCGTTTGACACTTGGCGCGGCATCTTCTCGTTCACGATGACGCCGGAGTAGTTCGTGGGACTCCTCTAGAGTAAGGGTGTCGACGTCACGATCTTCGAGCGGTACTGGACTGGGATTGCGGGGGATGATAAGAAGAGACTGAAGGGCAGCTGTATATACGTTAGCTGCATGATTTACGGAGTGTAGAATTAGATTCACTTACCCTTAGACCGGTACTTGAATTTGAAAGTGATGAAGGGCTTGCGATCATTGTTCATGTATCGGCATGTCAGCTGCGTAGTCTTCGGTATAACTTCTGGAGTACGCAGACTAGAATTGGTTAGTCTATATTGCAAGCCTCCTATGCCTATCCCTCTTTACATTATTTGATGGGACAAGGCTCTGCCCTTCAGAGCCTTCTCCGGTATGTTGCCAAAGTCCGAGGTACTCATTGCAGATAACTCCAGCTTGCTGGAATTGCGAACGTTCTTGACGAAGAAAACATGGACCTCAATCTCTCCCATCTCTTTCATGTCTTTCATAAGCTGGTCTGCAGCGGAACGGACGTCAGGATCATCTGGGAAGAAGTCAGATCTAGCGATATATTAATGTTCAGCCAGAATACCAATTCGGAGGGCAGAGAAAGCAAATTTGGTTATGAACCACCGCTCGTTTTCTGTATAAGCTGAGCCTTCAACCAACATCTCGTAGCTAGTACCTCTGAAGTCCTCCTGCTTTGCGATACGATCTCGAACGTGCCGCCCATCTACATAAGTTCGAAATAAGACTGGGTTGTCTGGCCATTTTGGAGTCATCTCAAAGCGAATGTCGAAGGTCGACCCGGAAGTGGCCTCGATGTATTTCGTCGCCGCATTCGTCGAGCTCTCCGCCTCATCGTCGTCATATTCCTGTAGGACGGCTTCAGCAACACGAACTTCGACCTTGATTCCAGGGTAGTCTGTAGTGATCGCCATAATACTTGCTTGATAGCACAGAGCTTGATAACGGAAAATCTGACAGGAACAAGCTCAAGCGTGTTGGGAGTACGGAAGGTGTGAGCGTGAGCGTGAGCGTGAGCGTGAGAAGATGAGTGAATGATGAAAGTGTGGAAGTGAGTCTCCAGGATAAGGGTTATTGGGGTTACACGAGTACTGGGGTTACACCAACGTCTATCGTTACGTGATTACCACTGTATCTCTGAGACGAGGCGCGAAAGCGCGCTGCCGCGCGAGCGGTCCAAATACTGAACCTCACGGAAAGGGCTTCCGAAAGCTCGACAGTTCTGGGTCGAACGCAAACTATCGTGGAATGGCTCCACAATTAGCCTAGATGATACAGTGAGCATTTTCAAAGTCTTCAAAAAGTCACATGCAGAAACTCGGTCAGCGTATATACAAAAAGTCTATTCTTCTCCATACTCCAATAAGGGTTTCCGCCTGTACATATACCGTCCGCTTCCAGATGCTCTTGCAATACAGAACACCATCCCTTCCTCCGAAACAAAGTAAAAAAAAAAAGAGTGCAATCCGTCGAACAGTAGCCCAAGCCGGGTACATGATTTGTAATAATGTCAAAACATTACGCCAAGTGGCGAAACAGGGCACAAAGATCAAGGTTTGGGTCTGAAAATGATTCGCAGCCGGTACGCCAGTGCAATGATATCCGCCCGCCAGATGCTGTTGTACGTTAACAAAAACCGAAGGAAACGCTATGCAGTCGTTATCATGGGAATATGCCTCCATGCAATGGTATCATTCGCGGTTATGGATTAGGCCGTAATTGTTGGAAGATCGCCATGGTAGTAATGCTGTGATGGATGCGAGGTAATGTGGGGAGGGCGATCGCGGTCGATGGTCGGGTAAGGCGTTGCTAGATGCCAGAGAAGCAGCCATGTGTTCAGGGAGAGAAGCCTGGGTTCACTTCGCTGTCGGCACAGCTAGTGCCTGGTAGTTGTCGATCTACCATGCACCTATGCTTGCGGGAGAGCCGGTCCCATAGTTTCCACTCAACAACTGTTGGCGAATGGACATGGCATCGTTGGACCCGCCTGCAGCAGGGTTGGGCGTCTCTGTGCCCATCCAGCCGAGACCTCCACGTAGCTCGTTGACTGCTTCCTGCATCTTTCCGCCCGAAATCTCATTGTGCTTCGCAATCTTCTGGTCCCATCCGCCATATTGGAGCTGTATGCCGCCCGCCTTCTTCGCTGCCTCCTGGATGACTATCGCCCACGCTTTTGCCATTTCCTCGTATGCCTCCTGCTTGTGTCGGTTGTGTTGATAGGTGTCCCAGTTGGGTAAGCGATGGATGATCTCAGTGGCGCCGTCAAGGAAGGCGAGTGATGTAGCGGGTTGATGTTCGTGGGGTGGAAGGAAGTGAGGTGTGAAGTCTTTGAGCGAGTCGAGCAATTCGTCAAGCTGTTGCCGCACCCGGTTGTATGCGTAGTCGGACGACGCACGGCCGCCAAAGGGGAAGGCAGCCTGAAACGCCGCCTCGTACTTTGACAGAACCTCCAATGTTGACTGTATGCTTGGCCGCGGCGCGGTGGTGACAACCTCGTTGCCGATGTCAGGGTGGCGCTGGCAGATGGACTGCAGGAGGTTGCGCATCTCGTCGGGGCTCAGGGTCTCGAGGAGGCGAGGCAGGGGGAGGGGTCGGCCTGAGATGTTGGTTCGCATGCGCTTCATGCCTCGCGGCGCAGGTCGTGGGAGTACGGCGGGCGATGTGGATGGCGATGCACTCATGCGGTCGTCGTCTCCGGCGCTGCCATCGTCCTCGGCTTTCCGCTTGCGGCCTGTCATTGCGGGCGTGGGGGCGAAGACTGCAAAGGGTGTCAAGTCAGTAGCCGACATGGGGTTGGGTTGTTGAGAGCAGCGAGCGGACTTACGGTTGCGGGTGGGAGAGCGGCGGTTGTTGTTCAAGAGATGAGGGGGCGTGAAGGTCTGGTACTGTACGCTCATGACGAGGAAGGGCCCGCAAACGCAGTGAAATCGCACGCCTGCTTTGTTGGGAGCCGGATAGCGATGTCTTGAGGATGATGCAGAGGGCGAGGCTCTCGTTGGGTCGGCCGTAGAGCGGTGTCAGGTGTGTTGTTGTTGCCGTGGTGGAGACAGCAGAGCCATACGAAGGCCCAAGAATATGCTAACAGCTATGTCCGTGCACACAGCCAATCACGTCACATGTCACAGATATCCAGCGCAGCACTTTCGCTCTCATCTGGAGTTGAGGTTGTATCTTCTCGCCACTTTTGCTTCATCCTAAAAGTTGCCCATTCACGTTTTGACATCGCGTGGTTGCCTGTTGGAAAAGCAAGGGCAGCGGCTACGGCGGCACTAGCTACATCACATCACATCACATATCACCATGCATATCAGAGAGAATGTATGTACGTGGGGGATCCTCCACCGTGGTGCAAGCCCACAGTATCAGATCTAGTGAATTTCTATCCAGGACGCACTCACGCCTTGCTTCTCTTCTGAGATGCATAGCGCCCAAGGCTCCCTGCGTGCGCCTGAGACATGGGCATGTCCGGTGGCGCTTTGATTCAACCGCATAAAGGAGAACGCCATGCGAGTGCCACACTTACCTGCTCGAACAATGATGCTATCAAAGACTCCCACCAACACCGTAATATACAAAACGTGCTCCACACATTATAGATACAGGGACTGGGCTGCGACCAGATCCCTACGGACAAGCTCCAGTGCTGCCGTGAACTTTTGTTCAAGCTCTTCGCTGCCCATAACTTTGGACGCTTGAGCTATTTGTCGGAGCAGTTCTTCCAGTCGCCTGAAGAGACGGATGAGACTTCCCTCGTACACGTCGGTCATTTTGCTGCAAACGTTAGTCGTTGTTCAATGCGGATCGACCGAAGCAACATACCAAATCTCTGCGAACGTCGCACCCTTGGACCACGCGTAAACGACCTCCATCAGCTCATACTTGAATGACTTGAGGTACTCCTCTTCGTTGACAGTCAGCTTGCTCTCTTGTGACATCTTCGCAATCACCCTAGCCTGCTGCTGGATCTCGCGATACGGTTTGGCAAGCTCTTCCTTGAGCGCCGGCACTTCCTGCGTCTTCTCCTCAAAGATGAAACAACTGAGACAAGCAGCACATTGCTCTGGCGTGAGCTCGTTGAAGAAACGATTGAAGAGCAGCTCGCTAAGCACAAGCTCATCTCCAGTGCTGATCTCGCAAGCAACACGGGCTTTGAGCTGGACGACGTCCGCATCGTCAATGAAGCCAAGTCGTCGCAACACACGTTTCCTGCTCTTCAGCTCGTCCAGTTGGATGACTGACAGGGCGCTCGCAATCTCCTTCCTGATGTTCTTGATCTTCTCACCGATCGCAATCTTCTGCGCGTATTGGCTGTATAGTTCGGGTAATCTAGGCGAGTTGTGCAGAGGATTCGAGAGCAGGCGGGACTCTAGAACTTCGATTTTCTGCGTTGTGTTAGGGAGAGACATATGTGTATGATGGCAAAGCTTACCCTTAAGAGTCTCTTAAAACTGTCGTCCTTGATGTTCATGTTCTCAATGGGATCTAGAATGGCAATTCCGTCGGGGAAGCGCTTCTTGACCTCGCTCAGCGCTTTGCGAACGTTGTTCCTTTGCTCAGTCGACTTGAGTTCGTTGGGCAGGAATACTCGGAGATGGCCAATCGATTCAATGCAGTTCAGGACTACAGGCACAACCTCCATCTTGCCTTTGTCTCCGGCCGCAGGTGGTCGCACACCGGGTGGCAGACCATCGTTGACCGCAGGAACAAACTTGGTATCGCTGCTGACGGGCAGTAGCACGTCAACAATGTACGACTCTTGAGGTTGCAGGACTTCTCCCTTGTTAGCCTTGCGAGCAGTGTACGCTACAACAGCGCCCCAGCCGAAGTCGTAGTCTTTGAACTTGATCTTTACCAACCGACCACCTTGCAAGAATTGCAAGCAGTAGTTGGGCTGCATGATCACATCGCGCATGTCTTTAGTGTGTGTATCCAGCTGCTGCCGCAGATTGTAGTAGTCTTTGATTGCAGGCTCGTCAACAATGTTCGTGTTCGCCTTCTCTTGCTCAAGCTCTTCAAGTTCTACGATACTGTTAGTAGTTGTACCTAGATATCACAGACACAAACTTACGTTTCTCAAGATTGGAGACACCCGCTGTGCTCTGGAACTGGAAGAAACACCTCTCCAGCATAAACTCGGGAGATATGCCCTCAACTCGCATAAGGTTGAGAATCATGTTGTAACCCAAGTGGAAAGCGGAGTTGAGATTGTCCTGTTGACCGCGGACGATTTCCTTCGCCACAGCCGGCTCCATCTGCTCGCCGATCATCATGATGACAATACCACGGTCATCGAGACCACGACGACCGGCTCGACCAGACATCTGGATGAATTCGGAAGGCGTAACCCATCGCTGCGATACTCCATCGAATTTGCGCACACTGGTAAACACGACTGTCTTAGCCGGCATGTTCAATCCAATAGAGAATGTCTCAGTAGCGAAAAGCACCTTGATCAGCCCCTCCTGGAACAAAATCTCGATAGTCTCCTTCAGGATAGGTAGCAGTCCAGAGTGATGAACACCAATACCCCTTCGGAGTAGGGGAAGGATGTGTTGAATCTGGGGTAGTTGGCGGTCCTCCTCTGAGAGCATCTCGATGGCGCTGTTAAAGACCTTTGTGACCATGGCCTTTTCCGAGTCGTCGTTGAACGCTAGCGAGCTCATGGAGAGTGCGTAATTCTCGCATTCCCTCTTACTGAAACTGAAAACAATGACCGGGTTGTAGCTTTTGATCATGATCATCTTAACAATCTTGTAGATATCCGTCTGATCCTTGTTGCCGCCCGTGTTGGTTTTTTTGTCTTTGCCTTTGCCTTTACGTTTCGCCATAAAGTCCTTAGCCTCACTTCCACCCTTGTCCGCAATAGACGACATGGCCTTCTGGAAGTTCTCTTCACGGAACACACCCTTTTCGT